TAATGACGCGGCGTACAAAACAAAACTCAATGTAAATATCTGTGGTGGAAAATACTAACGAGATAACTCCATCTTTTTCGAAGTCGAGTTTATGACATGAATTACCTATATGTTATGTTTACTTTAAGGTACAAGTGTCACAAAAGCTGAAAAGAGCACCTATCGTTCAATATAACACCGTGCTTAACGAGATAAGTCCATTTCGCTGCAAACGATTCCCGGCCAAACGAGATAAGTCCACCTTTGCGAGCTCCAAAATGCGATAAAAAGTCTACTTTGACTTGAAAATTTAATAAAATGATATTCCAACATACAAATGGCTCTCACACTCTTCGAATGTAGTGAATTTCACTATACAGTTGGTACATTTGATACAAGAGGGGCCATTTTCGCGATTTTCAGTGTGGCCTTATTTCGTTGCAAAATTTGAGATCTGACACCAGTATAACGTTAAATGAGCTATTTTATCAATTTAAAATCATTACATGAGGTTTTGATCACAAACTAAGCGAAATTATCGATATTGAAAAAAGTGTGACCGCTAAAAGTGGACTTATCTGCTAAGCGGGGAAAGGGCTAACGAGATAAGTCCATATTTTTTGCTCCTTATCATCACTATGATGCGCCTTTCAATTTCACAAGTACATAGTTCAAAAGATACCTCATAATAGGTAAAAATATCATAGGTACAGATCTTTAGTCGTCCGCGTCTAGCTAGGCCTTCGTGCGCAACTTAAAACGCGTTTTTCTCGAAAACACGAAAAATGGAGTTATCTCGTTAGGCCTTTCCACTACAGATATTATCCTCAAGATGAAATGTCACTTAATAAATGTAATAAACGTAAATGAGTACTTGGTAATATGTATGTGATTTTGTCTTTTAATTTAGATCGACGAGAGTAGGAAGATAACAGACTCAACATGTACTTGTGTGCACAAAAAAGTCTTTTGGAAGAACAAGTTTGGGGTGGACCTACTGCTAGACAATTTGCCAATGAGAAGTACAAAAAAAGCAAATACAGCAGGCCCTCTGTATTCGCGGTAGTTAGGTTCCTAAAAAACACCGCGAATATGGAATCCGCGAATAATTGAAAAATAATGATAACACATGTAATAATAATAATGTCGAATAACAAAAATATTGAATAATTGAAAGTATTTATTTTATTGGCATTTTTCAAAATATTCCGTAATGCGGGATTGTTCTGTTCGCCGAACCATGTCTGTGTGCAACTCTTTATAAGGATTTAATGTCATCGTTTAAAAAATGTAAACAACAAATACAAAAGTTAACCAAAAAGTTGTGTTTGGCATCAGGTAAACACCGCGAATATCGAATTTTGTTTTCGCGGATACGGAATGAAGGTATCAATAGAAAATTCCGCGAATATAGAATTCGCGTATACTGAATCCGTGAATACGGAGGGCCTGCTGTATTTTGATGAAATGTTCTCTTCAAAGGGAAGCGGTGCCGATCCGTATGAGTTCAACGTTAGTGATTTAAAGCAACCACCAGCTTTAAATAATATAAATAGTAAGTATTATTAAGAGTGAGAGAGAATCTTAGCTGGTGTGCGCTCGGAGCTCGGAGCGTAACTTAACAGATCAGCTCGGTGAGCTAACAGTTTGTAGCGACGGCGTACAATCGGTAAGCTAAGTCGTGTTCGCACGTCGCGGTTATACATAATGTTTGCTGGGCTTCGACCCGTGGTAATGTGTGGAATATTCCTGTAGTCAAATAGAAACATGTTTACCGCCGTTTCTACTTTTCCTACCCCTTTCACAATTTTTTTGACGTTATTTTTAAACGTCAGAATAAAATTTTCTGCTGCCCCGTTCGTGTCCGGAAAATACGGAGGCAAAAAGGAATGTTTGACATAATTATCTTTCAGGAATTTCATGAAATCGTCGCTTCTAAACTGCGGTCCCTCGTCTGTCACACAGTGAATGGGCAATCCGAATCGGACAAACAATTTTTTAAATTCTGTTATCAACCTTTTCGCATCCGTATTATTTTTACAATTGATTATTTCATTTACTGTGCGCGTCAATTACTATGAGGTACATATCATTTTCGAACTTCGCATAGTCACAGTGTATGCGCCCCCATACTTTATTCGGCCATGGCCACATAGTCAGCGGCGTTTTATTCGGCGCTTTGCGCTCGACTATACAAGCTGTACAATTATTCGCTACGTCCTCTATTGCTGCGTCTATGCCCGGCCAATATACGTATGATTGCGCATACATTTTCATTTTTACTACTCTGAAATGGGTTGCATGTAGTTCACAAAGTATCGCTGCTTGCATAGAAACGGGAATGCATGCGCGCACTCCCCAAAAGAGACACCCTTTTTCGACTGTTAATTCGAATCTAATTTTGAAAAAAATTTTCTTATCTGGCGTTAATTTGTCATATTCAGGCCAATCACCTGAGACATAACGTATTATGTCTCTAAGTAATTCGTCCCTTTTGCTCTCTGCGTTTAGCATTTTACTGTCTAGTACAGTACCGTTTTCGTCGAAAAAATTAATAAGTGAGGGAATCGGATCATACATATCCGATATGTCCGTGGTATCTTCTACGGGGAGTCGCGACAATGCATCTGCGTTTGCATTTTTCTTGGATTTGACATGTTCGATTTTGTATCGAAATCCGGATAGAAAATAAGCGTAGCGTTGTAGCCTGTAATCGGCCGTCTGCGGTATTCCTTTCCGCGGTCCTAAAATAAGCTCGAGCGGCTTATTGTCTGTGCGGAGGATTATTTCTTTGCCGAAAACGAATTGGTAGAAGCGCTTAAATCCGAAGACGATAGCCATTGCTTCTTTATCTATAATTGCGCGTTTGATTTCGGTACTCGGAATTTTTTTCGACGCGAAGGCTATTGGTTTTTCCGTACCATCTTCATATTTGTGTGAGAGTATGGCAGACAATCCGTAATCGGATGCATCGCAAGCTAATATTAATTGCGTTGACGGGTCGTAGTGAGCCAAACAATCAGGTGCGATAAGCCTAGCTTTTACCCAGTTAAACGCTGCGTCGCATACTGAATCCCACGTTGGAATTTTACCGTTTAGTAAGTCGTAAAGTGGCTTCAATTTCACTGACCGATTTTCTAAAAGGCTCGCGTAAAAATTTACTAAGCCCAAGAAAGACGCTAATTCCTTTACGTTATTCGGCCGCGGTGCTTCGACCATCGCTCGCATTTTTGTTTTAGATTTGTGTAATCCGTTCGAATCAATAACGTATCCAAGCACTTCTATTCGTGATTCCATAAATTTGCATTTTTTTAAGTTGAGTCTTAAGTTACATTCAGACAACCGTTCGCATACTTTTTCTAGGTTTGCTTTGTGTTCTGTATGCGTTTTACCTGTGATGTATATATGTGGTCTAGGTACGCGATAACACCGTCTATGCCGCGGAGACATTCATCCATTTTCCGTTGTACATCGGCTGGTGCCGGAGACACGCCCTCGGGTATTTTTGTATACTCAAAAGTAAGTTTACTAGTTAACTACTTAGTTAGTTACTAAGTTTACTAGTCTCTCTATCTCTTTCTCTACAGCTGGCTTTAAGGCATGCGGTACATGTCTGCATTTGAGCGCGACGGGCCGCACGTTATCTCTTAGATGTATCTTTGTTTGGCTTTTACTGTACAGTTCTGGCGTCTCGGCAAATAGCGACGCGTACTTTTGTGTTACGTACTCTTGCAAGTTTTCTTGAATTGAATTTTTATCGTTCGATTTGAATTTCGGAAAGCTTAGCGGCTATAACCCGAATTGCGCCAACCATTGTCGGCCTATCAATGCAGGTCCGGGACCAGGTAAAATGTAACAATTTGCATCAATTTTATCTCCGTTTAAGATCGCGGTTAATTTAGTCAATTCGCCTATTGGAGTCAATACGTGTCCATCGTAGGCCCGTAATTGTTTACTTGTTTTAATCATTTGATTACTTTCGAGGTATGTGCGATAAACTTGCTCGGAAATTACCGGCCAAAATGAACCCGTGTCGATTTCGAAGTTTATGTTTACGTTATTCACATTGATATTAAGGAACATTGGCTTAATGCCTGTATCGGCTACGCTCGCATAAGTATGTAACACGTGAGTACTCGGTTGACAATCTGTTATTGAAAAAAAATTTCATTCGTAATCGCTAACTACCTCTTCGCATTCTGATGGCGATACAATTTTCTTAATGTTATCGGTAGCGTTGGTTTTACAAGTGCGTGCCAAGTGACCTTTTTTGTTACATTTTCGGCATACATAATCGCGGAAACGACATTCATGACTCGTATAATTTGCTTTACCGCAACAATAGCATTTTTTTTCGCTGTTACTTGCTGTAGCTGATGAACTCCGATGATGCTACCGCTGCTGACGCTGGTGCTGTTGTTGCTTGGTTGCGTCGCTTGTCTTTCCCCGCTTGACCGTGCGACCTTTCTGCCATGGCTGCTTTCCTTCTGAGTGCGTATAATGCACGTTGTTTTTCGTGCTGTTTCCGTCCAATGTGTTACTCGCCGATGCTGCGATTTTTTACGGCTGACTCTCTTGCCATGGCGATTTCCACTGCTTTTTCCAGTGTCAAGTTTTTCTCCTCAAAAAACTAGACCTTGATATCTGTGTCTGAGAGCCCGCATACCAATTGATCTCTGAGTGCATCGGTTAGTTTTTTGAAGTTACAATTTATCGCTAGCTTCTTTAGCCTGGCAACAAAGCCAGCGATTTTCTCGTTCCCGTTTTGCCTTGCTGTGTGGAACGTATGTGGCGACTCACTTCACCGCAGTCTTACATGTATAATTAAGTAATTGAACTGCTAAAATGTTCACCTTTTGTTTTATCGTCGCCAGGCGATAAAACTAATTAATCGGACAGTTCAGTTCAGCGGCAACCTCCGAGACGAGCTAGTCTCAAATAATGAAGCTCCTCACTGTTAATAATATTAATATTTCTTGTCCTTCGTTCCTACAATTTGGTGACCCCGACGTGATACAACGATGGTATTGGAACGAGACAACGAAGTTCGTCGCAACGCCGATCTACACCAGCGAGCTCTCGCCGATGACGCTGCCGCTGCCGCCGCCGCCCTCCTTGCAGAGCAGCAACAACGTGCCGATGCAGCCGCCGCCCTCCTTGCGGAGCAACAACAACGAGCTGATGCAGCCGCTGCAGGCTTTGCTCCCCCGCGATATGTCAATCGCGTGGCCGTGAAACTTCCAGCTTTTTGGATGGACAAGCCGGCCGTTTGGTTCGCGCAAGCTGAAGCGCAGTTCGCTTTGGCTGACATCACCGTTGAGCTGACAAAATACTACCATGTCATCTCTCAACTGGATGTTCGTGCAGCCGCGGAGGTCGAGGACATCATCAGCAATCCTCCGGGTGTTGAACCTTACACGAATTTGAAACAACATCTCATCCAACGTCTCTCAACATCAGAGGAACAGCGAGTTCGTCAACTTCTCCACGACGAAGAGCTCGGCGACCGCAAGCCATCGCAGTTCTTGCGACACCTCAAATCGCTTGCTTCCCCGACCGCCGTACAACCTAACCTTCTGCGTCATCTATGGCTCCGGCGTCTTCCTACCCACGTCCAGGCCGTATTAACAGCCCGACCAGAGCTTTCACTTGAGCAGCTTTCGGACTTGGCAGACAAAATCGTCGAGATTTCTCCGATTTCTTCAGTACACGCGGTCGCAGACGCAGTGGAGCAGGTATGCCCTCCCTTGTCTCTCTTGTCTGCCATTCGAGAGCTTACCTTGGAGGTCAGCGCACTACGCTCTCGTAATGTCGAGAGATCACCTCAACGTCGCAGCCGTAGCCACAACCACAGTCGCAACCGCAACCGTTCGAAATCATCGAACCGACCACGTGACTCTGACAAGTTATGTTGGTATTGTTTCCGTTTTGGCAGTAAGGCGAAGAAGTGCCTTTGCCCGGGAAACGGCAAAGACGGTCAGTAGCGGCGACAGACTGTCTCTCGTCGAAAAGCCGCCTGTTCGTGACGGATCAATCAACCAAGCACCGATTCCTCGTCGACACCGGCTCAGATGTTTGCTGTTTTCCACGACGTCTATTGCGTGAGCGTCGAGCACCAACGGAATTTCGACTTCACGCCGCCAACGACAGCACAATCAAGACATACGGTTTTCACGGATTGACTCTCGACTTGGGCCTTCGTCGACGTTTCTTTTGGCGTTTCATCGTTGCGGATGTGTCGCAGCCGATCATGGGCTCCGATTTCCTCGCACACTACGACTTGCTGCCCGACTGTCGACGAAAGCGTTTGATTGACGCTTCCACGAACCTCTTCGCGCCTGCGTCGATGCAGTTTTCGTCGCAATGCAGCGTCAAGACTGTAGCAGCAAGCGGCGATTACTCGGACATCATCTCGGCATTTCCGGATCTTCTTCGTCCTCTTGGTTTGCCGAGACCGATCAAGCACTCGACTGTTCATCACATACGCACGACCCCTGGCCCGCCGCTGTCATGCCGTCCTCGTCGCTTGGCGCCCGAGAAACTTCAAGTTGCCAAGACCGAATTTGACCAGATGTTACAAGCAGGTGTGTGCCGTCCTTCCGAAAGCCAGGGGTCATCACCATTGCACCTCGCACGTAAGGGTAAGAATGGCTGGCGACCTTGTGGCGATTTTCGAGGACTCAACAGCCGAACAATCCCGGATCGGTACCCTGTTCGTCACATACACGACTTCGCCAACAACATCGGAGGATCGACTATTTTCTCCACGATCGACTTGGTCAAGGCGTATCAACAGATACCTGTCAACCCGGACGACATCTGCAAGACTGCCATAACCACACCTTTCGGCCTGTACGAATTTCCTTACATGACATTCGGATTGAAGAACGCTGGCCAAACGTTTCAACGCTTCATCGACGAGGTGACTCGAGGTTTACCCTTTTGTTACGTCTACATAGACGATATTTTGGTATACTCAAGATCGCAAGAGGAGCACCGCCGACATCTCGAGATTTTATTCAAACGCCTACACGAGTACGGCCTTGTCATTAATCTCGAAAAGTGTTCATTCGGCCAGCCGGAAGTTCGATTTTTGGGTTACCTGGTGTCAGAGGCAGGTGTTCGCCCGCCTGAAGATCGAGTCCAAGCTATTCTCGACTACACTTTACCGAAGACAGCTCACGACCTTCGACGTTTTCTCGGCATGTTCGATTTTTATCGTCGTTTCGTCAAACATGCATCCGAGTTGGAAGCGCCCTTATACGACGCTCTTAGCAAGCCACTCATAAAAGGATCACAGCTTATAACATGGACACCGGACTTGGAAAAAGCTTTCGTTCGTTGCAGAGGCAGCATCGCAACTGCGACACAGCTCTCTCACCCCCGTCTCGGCGCACCACTGGGCCTTTTCACCGATGCATCCGGAACTGCTGTCGGCGCGTGTTTGAATCAGTGGATCAACGACGCTTGGCACCCTTTGGCATTTTTCTCGAAGAAATTATCGCCGAAAGAAGCTAGTTGGCCAGCCTATTACCGAGAGCTATTAGCGGTTTATACAGCAGTCCAGCATTTCCGGCACGCCTTAGAGGGTTACACTTTCAAAATTTATACAGATCATAAGCCTTTAATCCACGCATTCACGCTGAAGAAGGAGAAGTTACCACCGATTCAGTTGAATCAACTGTCATTCATCTCGCAGTTTTCAACTGACATCGTATACATCAGGGGAGCCGAAAACGTAGTCGCCGATGCGCTCTCTCGTGTAGAAGCCGTCTCGTCTATCAATTACGAGGAGCTTGCACAATCTCAAGCTATTGATGAAACCTTGAAGAGTTTCCTCGACGATCCTGGTACATCTTTACGCCTACAAAAGATCGAGCTTCCCGGCCTACGCACTTCTGTATACTGTGATGTTTCAACCGGCAAGCAACGTCCTTTTCTCACGACTCCGTTCCGGCGCGCCGCATTCGATTTGATTCATGGTTTGAATCATCCAGGAATCAAAAGGACATACAAGATGCTAAGCGAGCGTTTTATTTGGCCTTCGATGAGAAAAGACTGCCCGCTCTTGCATTCCCTGCCAGAAGTCGAAAGTCACTCGACATGTGCATTCACCGTTGGGTTCATTTGCACATACGACGCAACGTTTCTCACATGTGCACGCTGCCGTTGAAGGATACATCGACCGAGACTGTATGCAAAGGTTTTCTTCAAGCTTGGATCTCCCGTTTTGGCTGTCCTGATGTGTTGACTACGGATCGTGGTGGCCAGTTCACTTCTCACCTGTTCACAAATGTCGCTAAGCATCTCGGCATTCAGCTTCGTCATACCAGTAGTTGGCATCCACAGAGCAACGGGATTGTCGAGGTTTTTCATCGACACTTGAAAGCTTCGCTCCTGGCCCATCAACACGAAAATTGGCTCGAAGCTCTTCCTCTCGTGCTGCTTGGTATTCGCTCAGCTTTCAAAGAGGACATCTCGTCGACTGCTAGCGAAATGGTTTACGGTGAGACGCTGCGCCTACCCGGTGAGATGCTAAAAACTTCGACTCCTGCTCACATCACGGATCCAGCGAGTTTACTACATCGTCTTCGTGCAATATTCCACCGTTTGCAACCGGTACCAGCCTCCAGGCATTGCAAGCCTCGCGTCTTCGTTTTTCAAGATTTGCGTGACTGCGGTTACGTCTTCTTGCCCGACGACAAGATTTCGAAAGCTTTGGTGAACACACCTTTTACCGGCCCTTGGAAGGTGTTAGAACGCACAGAGAAAATTTTCAAGCTCAGCATTCGTGGAAAAGCTGTCACCGTGTCAATCGATCGCTTGAAACCTGCCTACGTGTTGGACGACGACGTGTATTCAATTTCTGTGGACAATCCAGACCTTGACACTACTTCGGCCGTTTCCTGTGCCTCGCAGTTGTCGTCTTCGATCAATAACCGAACTAACCGACATGTTCATTTTGATATTTAATATTTGTCGTTAATACTTGTTACTTGTTTTTTTGTTATTTTCAACACTTGTTAATTACTGTGTTATATACTGCGTAGGGGGTGATGTGGCGACTCACTTCACCGCAGTCTTACATGTATAATTAAGTAATTGAACTGCTAAAATGTTCACCTTTTGTTTTATCGTCGCCAGGCGATAAAACTAATTAATCGGACAGTTCAGTTCAGTGGCAACCTCCGAGACAAGCTAGTCTCAAATAATAAAGCTCCTCACTGTTAATAATATTAATATTTCTTGTCCTTCGTTCCTACACGTACACCTCTCCATTGCCTCGGAGGGTTTTGGTTTCAGCTGTTTCTCCATAACTTCGACGAGCTCCTTATATGCCTTCGCTGTAATTTTCTCGGGTGATACGAGCTGCTTTAGGAGAGCGTGCGCATCTGTGCTTAACCCAACGTGCAGGCTACCTTTATCTTGTCGTCGCTTATCTTTTTCGTAAGGAAGTAACAATCCAGTTTTTCCTCGAAAAGCCCCCAATCGTCGTCCATTTGAAATTCGAATCTTGCCTCGGACATGACGTCGCCAGTGTTGTCTTCGTCCTTATCGTTATCAGATTCAACACTTGTATCACTCTCACTCGAGTTCTCCTTTGCGTCTGTAAAGGAATCGTCGTCGCTTTGTTGCTCTTTTTTGTTCTGTATTGTTTCTCGCAAGAGTTCACGCAGATCGTTGTATTTGCTGGCTGGATCGTATTGAACTTGTCGGTTTTTTAGTTCTCCCTCAATTTGAACTTTATTTAATTTTTGTATCCAGCCAGTGCCTTTTATATTGGACTGATTTTCTATTGGCTGATTATTTGTTTTATTTTTCGCGCACAATGATCACTACACTATTTATTTGCCAGTACCGCACCTTTCTACGCCTGCTCTGACGATTTTGAATATCGATAATTCCACCCGATTTTTAGTATCGCACATTTCTACGAAACTAGTAACACGTGTGTTCTTTGCTTATCCTCGTCGCCAGTTGTTATATATTGGGAGAAGGAGGAAATAAATAAACACTTGTATTGTTTCGAACGAGAGCTAATTCAAGTAGTTCGCGGACCGTTGGTCCCGACTCGAGCGCTGCGGGTCTCCCACTCCGCGCTGCGGAGCAAGTCGACACTCTCACTCAAGAGTTCGGAGCGTGAACATCGCCTGCACCGAACCTTTTCCACATCGCGTGAACCAGTTATTTTGTATACGTTTTTAAGCTATTCAGTTTTTGTCCACGTAAACGTGAAGTAATCAACCAGAAAAATAAAGTGTTTGTCTCAACCTGAGCCACCTGCGTTTGCTCTTTTTTCTCCTCCTCCTTCAAGCCGTTCATCAACAATTTGGTCACTTCGAGCCGGATCCGGCTTGCAAAATGGAGGAGAGGTGAGTATCAGTGAAAATGAGAAGTGTGGGCAGAGGCTTTTCATCTCGCTATGTCTCACAATATCGTGTGATAAAATTATGTTGAAGAAATAGCGCGGGCTGGCGCATCTAGAGTCATGCCGGGCGTTAGCGAGTTCAAGTCGGCCATCTTGGCAGGACGACGCGGTCGTGTAAGTGGCGCGCTTTTGCTAATGCGTTCGTGTGTGAGTGAGACATGGCCGTTGGCGCGATATTCGGTGATACGTTCGTGTGTGTGCGTTGGTAGGCATGCACGATTCTGCCATCGGCATGCGATATAGCGACGCGTTCGCGGGCATGTGCGGCACGCACGTTGGTGCGATGAACAATAGCGCGTCTCGAGTATGAAGAAAGGGGGGAAGGATGCAAGGAACGCGCGTTTACGTGAATGCACATCCCGATCATGACTTGTATCCGCGTCGCAAGTTGACACGCACCAAAACACGACTCGCCGCCTTTAGAGCAAGTGATATGTTCCCGTGAGTTCGCCGGCTCTCTCTCTCTCTCTCTTTCTCCCCCCATCCTTGAGCCGATGCCGCATCGTCGCGGTCATTATCGTTCTCTCGCGCGCGCTCGACCGAAGTACGTCACGATACGCAAGGTGTTGTCTGATTATGTCGACTCGAGGTTGGCCACACTGTACTGTGTCTGGCGTTTACCCTGTGTGAGCGAAACATGCTCGAATGGCTAAACGAACGCCGCAACTGCAAAGAACACGCACGCGAGCAGATCTCAGACTGACTCGATCGAGGGCCTCAGTCGGATGAGAGATTCACACAAGAGCCGTCGCGCTCATGATGCTTGCGCCAAGTACTGAGAAAATTCAACTCACAGAGTCTCAGTGAAATGCTCGATCCTCGCGTTCCGCTGATCGACACAATCGACTTGGGGGACGCGCTTGTGTTTTTTTCCTTTTTTTTTGGTTAAGGCAGGGGGGGGGGGGTAGGGTCTTGACTGAATTTCAAAAAAAAAATTTTTTTTTTATTTTGAACATATAGTAAATCGAATTGATCTATAAATCATACACATAATTAATAGTTATTTGAAGAATATTCAGTTAAATTTTCAGCCCAAAATACTGAAAAATAAGGTGGCTACAGCAAATTTTCACATGCAATGTAAAAAAAATCCGGTGGACACCATCACTCAAAATCTACTCGACCGATCAACTTCATATTTTATACACTATTTAAGTAGATGATATATGAGGTAATGACGTCGAGATATTTTAACTTTTTGCATTTTTAAATGCTTTTTACGAACAAGTACGATGAATTTTTGCCTTCATTTTGTCAAAAAAGTCATTTTTTTCACTTCAAAATGATGCCAAAAACTCAAAAATCATTTTAAACGAAATATCTCGACGTCATTACCTCATAATTTATGTAGATAAATAGTGAGAAAAATTTGGAAAGAATCGGTCGAGTAGATTTTCAGTTACAGTGTCCACCGCAATCGATCTTTTTTTTTCAGTTTTGTGAGAAAATTTGCTGTAGTTAGCTTATTTTTCACTATTTTCAGCTTTGAACTAAATGTTCTTCAAATAACCATTTATAATGTATATAATTTATAGATAAATTCTGTAATGCCGGAACTGGCATTATCTGTTGGGCCGCCCTGACGAACCATCGTCGACTTGCCGAGTGTATAGTTAGTTATAAGAATCGTTATTAATAATTGTGTTTTGAATATGATTTCATGTGAGCGCCAAGTGTGAAAGAATAGAACGTAAACACGCGTATACGTTGACATACGAGAACGTACAGATGAATAGGAGAAAGGAGTCGAAGATGTGCCTTGAGAGCGAATAGAGCTCGAGTGTGAGAGTTGAGCGCGACATCCTGGGGGATGTCTAGGTCGGATTGACGAGTACCGCGCGGCTAGTAAGATCCTACGTCGCCCGAGTGAAGAGTGCGAGGGCCGGTACGAGTCGATCCGAGTGCGCGAGAGAGAACCAGCGGATCCAACGGCCGAGCAGACCACAAGGACAACCAAGGGTGGATCTGGACCAGGAGAAGATCTCGACATAGTGTGGTGAGTCGGGCGGCCCAGTTCTTAGTCGTTGTATTTGTGAGTCGTACGCGCCGACGCGCCCACCAGGGCTACGATCGTCGCGTCTGCCGTCGACCGGGTATTCGGGTACTCTCTGAGGCCGTGTATATTGTTTGTTTTATACGAATAAACCTGGTAGTTGTTATTGTTATATGGAGTGTTTGATTCTTGATGGATGTGTGAGTGTAAAGAGCTTTCCTTTCCCGTATTGCATGCATTACAGGTAGACCCCGGACGTGCAGAACGGATCCACAGAGCCAAGGGACACACGTAACCGACGAAGTACGTCGGGGTGAGATACGAGGTTACAATTCATTTTACTATGTACTTAAAAAAAAATATTAAAATGCAGCTCGAAACCATCGAACAAGACCCCCCCCCCTTAACCGCGTGAGCACAAGTGTGCCCTGTGAATCGCGCGAGCCTGTTTATACGCAAGTGCAGACGACGATTCTTTTTTGACAGCTAGTGTGCTCCGTTGTTCAACTACGTCGAGCAAGGAGAGAGAGCCTCTGCTCCGCTGCACTAGAGCGTCGAGCCTCACACGGTTTATTGGTGGTTGATTGGGCCTGACGAAGACTGCAAAAATAGCGAGGGCAGACGAGAAGGCAGCCAGATGTTGATGCTCTCCAGGACGGCAGACTCATTCTCACACACGCTGGCCATCGCAGGTCCCACACGAGAGGGGTCGGTAGCTCGAAGCTATTTCACGCGAGTTCCAACACAGAGTGTTCGATTCATCAACTCCTTTCAGTACCGCAATTACTAAACTCGATCCCTGCAATGCAAAGTTAATTACACAAAACTATCAACCAACAAACTTCACAAAAAAAAATCAATTACGAGCCAAATAATAAGAAAAATAAATTCGGTACACGACCAAAAATGCTCGACTGCGATTGACAGTTCACTCTGTCATAATATTCACTGGACTTATCATTCACACCTCCACTTAATACTACACAAAGTTACCAATAAACTACCTTCACGATTATCTATCGTTTTTTCTCTTTTCTCAACACTTACTTCTTTCATTAGTTGAAATTCTATCATTGAATACAATTACGTATCCCACCCCTCCCGGAAAAGAGGGCTTAGGCCCGATTTTTCGGCCAATCTTCATACTACGACTCAGCTTTAATGAGTATCACCAGCAAACCTAGCATTTTTCCTTTCTCTATCACATTTACGCTTTGTGTAACATGAGTTGCACACTGGAAAACTACCACTCGTTTCTAAGCCACATCTACAACACGTTATTCGGACAATCTTTTATGAAGTGCCCTATCGTACTGCATCGATGACATTTATTCACATTATCTCTCATACTATCTGTCTTTAGGCTAGATGTCACCGTCTCTGGTTCGACGTACGCCGCATTTTTAAATAACACGTCTCCATAACTCGGCGGCTCACGGTACGCAAGTTTTTGTCTGCGTTTCAGCTCTTCAAGTTTGCCTAATTTTTGGAACTCTTTGCAACTTTGCAAAAATTTACGCATTGTTCGCGACTAAACGCTCTCCTATAACT